GAAAAAGTTGACCAGTAAGCGAAAGAAGCTTCATCATCCGATCTGGCTCTGAAAAATATTTAACTTCACAAGGACTTCAAAGACAATACAAAGCAAAATATTTTAAACAACTGGCTTGATCACTGGAACACTCAGAATGCCTCCTATGAACAGAAAAAGCAGGATCATAATCCGAACATTAAGGATAGGACATACACGACTCATACACGGTTACCTAATATCTCCTGACAATCCGCCTCCACGATGTCAGCACTGTGACTGAACTCCTCTCACTGTACAGCATTTTCTCCTGGAATGCAAATATTCGAAGAAGACTCTGTTTCAAAGACTCTTTAAAACAAATATTGAACAGTCTATCGCAGTAATCAAAGTTTTACAAGATACCCATTTGTACTATCTAATTTAAGTTTTATACAGTTTATATATTTTATTTAAATATAATACTGTTTTTAAGTCAATGGCCATTAAGCGGCAAAGACGCTTTAATTTTAAATAAAAAAAATTATCCGTTCTCAAGTTGGAACACTTTTTTAAAATGGTTTGCACTATTGTTAAACGTTATATTTATTTACGAAGCCCAAAATCGTTGCTTAGCAAGAACAGTGGGCCAAATTTAACGAAAGAGATCCGGAAATAAATGTTGGACGCAAGTACATTCGTGAGTTAGTAGCAAAATTTGAAGAAGCGGGATATGTTTGCAATAATAAAAGGAATGAGGCAAGATTGATCGTATTGAGGTTCTTGGTCAAGTTGCTATGACTTCTACTACGTGAAGTTGCAAAACAAACTTGATTGTCAGGAGTCAGTCAGGAAGGTATTAAAGCTTCACAAATTTCATGCATACAAACTGCTAATCACTTAAGAATTGGACGATGATGACCCGGACAGACGTATTGAGTCTTGCTAAATTATGACCAACAGAATTTTTAATCATCCCATCCCATCAAGAAATATCTGTATTCTTGACGAAAGCAGTTTTTACTTAAATGTAAGGTCAACAAACAAAACTGCCTTTATTGGAGCGGCCTCAAACCACACATTATTATAGAGAGGGGTATATATAATATCCTTAAAAAATAAATGTTCAGGTGAATATATTAGGCAATACTATCATCGGTCTCCTCTTCATAAATGAAAATCTAAATGATCAAATTTTAGCTATGTAAAACCTCGTATAATTTATCAAATCAAAGAGGCGTCAATGGAAATTTGCTCTAGAACATTTGATGCACTTCCAACAGGACGGAGCACCTCCTCAGTATGTTCACCCAATAAGAGAGTGGTTGGATAATCATTATTCGAAGCAGTTTATTAGTAGCAGAGGAATCATTGAATGTCCACCTAGGTCACCTCTGGATTTTTCCTTTGGGGTCACTTGAAATTCGTTGTATTTAAAACACAAACAGACTCAATTAAACAATTGCAACACTTTTTTAAGAAGTTGCATTATTTAAATTTAGATAATAAATACATTCCACAAATTTGTGAGGTTAGGTACTTCAATATTAACAAAAAAATTAAAAGAACTACATAAGGAACTCAAAAATGGTTATAGAAATAGGAGTTGCCATTTAAAATTTTAGAGGTAGAATTGTCCCCCTTGATATGTAAATTGACATGTTTAGCCAAATTTTCATACTATCATCGGTAGAGCCAATATTAAATGTTGCTCGTCTTCAAATTGATATAATTCAGCAAATTCAACCGAAATCCATTTGCCCTAAGGAAATAGAGAAAATCACAAATAATTAATGTTAAAGTGAGTATTGGAATGTTTGTAATTTCACAAATTTGATAGGTACTTGTTTGTGTATTTCCAAGTGAAGCAAAACTTTCGTTATCGAGAACATTTTCTTGCGAAATGAAAGATACGTTTTTTTAATTTGTAAAAAAACCTTCTGGGACACACTGTATAATGTCTGAAAATATCAAAATAGTAATCTAAATGACGATAAACTGTTTAAATATTGGTCGGATCAGTAGCCTCGTCGTTATTAATTTCAAGCCGGATATTATTTTGACTAATAATTCTCAACTCATATTGATTGCATATTATTTATGAAGAACGGGAACAGATATGCTGCTCACAGTGTTTAAATTACTAACGGTAAATGCCGCTTTTCATGCTATGCATAGTAATCTATTCTGTATCATGCAGTTGCTAGCTAGTAAGTGGCTTAGACCAAGGTCAGTCGTTATGTTACCACTTTCAAAAAAATCAGAATTCTCTAAAGTAAAATCTATAATAACTAGTGTTTATAAAAGGGGATATCAAGTGACTTAGAAGCAATCAAATATTCTTGGTGATTAAGCATAACAACTAGTTGCTGAGAAAGAAATATGGACTTTTGGATAATAAATATTGTAATGTGAGCCATTTCATTATTCAGTCATGCTCTAATACTCCCTCTCTGTATTATTTGGCCTTTGAGGCTCAACTTGTCCGATTATTATACATAATTAAACCCCTTAAGACCAAACCTGTGGGACGACTATGGTGGACGTGTTTTCGATGATGTTCGAGAAAGGACGAGATAATAGGTTCGTTCGTAGAGCAGTCAGAAACCGTCAGCAACTGTACGGCGCAGGCGCGTTTCGTTAAAAGCGTTCGTAAAAGCCAAACCAAAAATCAGTGATCAAAAATCCGACGTTCGTAGAAAGAAAATATGCGGTTGGAAACTGGTTGGCAACCATCAGAATAATTCGCTGACGGATAAGAAATTTTAAGTTGGAGACATGCGCAGTTGAAATTGATCCGCTAGCCTTCCATTTCCATGGTTTCTTTGGTTTGTTTACTAAGAAAAGATAACCAATAAATTTTGGGGGCTTATTAGTGATTAGATTTTGTTGTTTTCCGCGATTCGGGATTTATTTAATTAAAACTTGATAAGACATCCAGAGCAAAAATTAACTGAAATTAGACGTATTAGAAAGGTATGAAATAAGTTTTAATTTTTGTTTTAGTGGTTATTTATGTAGGTTTACAAGGGTACACAGATTATTTGTGATTTTTTTCTTTAAGATGTTTGAAAACGATTTATTGAGTTCATCAAGCGATGAAGAGTTATTTGTGGTGTTCGATCAACGACCAAAGCCCAAGAATGAGAACTATTTGGAGGAAACAGTTCCGCAGTACAGTAATGCACAATTTATGGAGCATTTTAGAGTCAGCAGAGAGGTGGCTAATGACATAGAGGAACGCTTCAGAAATTCTCAGTATTTTTTCCACCAAAGTGGAGAATTTGGAAAGTTGAGTGCCTCCGATTATACAATTATATTTTTGTGGTTTGCTGGACACGAGGCAGCTTCATACAGAGATGTGGCTGACAGATTTAATATAACCATAAGTACGCTACGTAAAGTAGTTGAGAGAATGGTGTACTTTTTGAGTAATTTGTCACCACAAATTATTACATGGCCCACCAATGAAGAACAAAATCACATAAAGCAGCAATTTTTAGAGAATGGGTTTCCTGGTGTAATAGGGGTGATAGATGGTTCCCATATAAAAATTGATAAACCGTCTGAAGACCCTGATTCCTATATAAATAGAAAGGGGTTTTATTCTATGCAGGTGAGTTTTTTGGAGTGTTATAAGTATCACCTACCTTGTTGCCTTAAGTACTGAAATTATGTTATGTATATCTTATAACATTTAAACATAATAAGAAAGTAACGTGACATAAAAAGCATTTCAGTAGCTTCATTCTAAGACAAATACTAAAACTTCAGGATTCTTTTTAGTATTTATCCTCTGGAATAGCTACAGTGCATAGCAAAACATGCATTTCTTATGTTCGTGTTTGTCATATTTGGAAAAATTGAGTATACCTCTCATCACAATCAGCCACTTTTTTTAATGTAATGAAATAAAAGCATTTTTAATTTAAACTTAGACAACAAAGAGCTAATAAATTAAATAAAATTTTTATTTTTAGGTGCAGGTTGTGTGCGATCACAGACGGAAAATAAGGGATGTTACAGTGGGTTTTCCAGGATCTGTGCATGACAGTAGAGTGTTTAGGGCATCCCCATTGTCAACAACCCTGCAGGAAAAATGTGGGAACAATTATATTTTGGGCGATAGTGGTTACCCTTGCTTAAGACACTTGTTAACCCCATACAAAGATTTTGGAAATTTAACAAGGGTCCAACAAAACTATAACAATAAGTTAGCTGCAACACGTTATGTGATAGAACACTGCTTTGGCATCTTAAAACAAAAATTTAGGCAGCTGTACCACCTAAAACTAAGAGGGGATCACGACATTGCTAATTTTATAAGAGCGGCCTGCGTACTTCTTAATTTGGCACAGGATGATGATTTCCCAGAAAATGAAGAACTTCCAAATGTAGGCCTTGTTCATCATGATCATAATTACAATGCGCAGGGAGAGGAGCCCCAGGATGAACGTGATGGAGTAGTTATGAGAAACGAAGTCGCCAATATTTTGATTAATAATATGTAAAATTTAAATAGATATAGCAATAAATTTTCTAAGATTGAAATATAGATGTTTAAAAAGTAGAATTTCTATGATTTATTTTAGCAGTGTGGTTTACTTTTCATCAGTACTTTCTGTTGTCAATAGTTTTGCATGCATTTAGTAAAGAGTTGGCTAGGAATCGATACTGATATCAGCAGACGACAGCTAAAGTGCTCCCATAAAAACACTGTTTTTTAAAAAAATATATTCTGTCTACGTAAAAAAATATACATATAAATTCATAAGTCTAGCATCAGGAACAGAATTCACAGCAAAATAATAAATCTAAAAACACAAAAAAAATAGGAACTCTTGAAACAGCAATAATTAATAATACAAATAACAAAAATACTCTCTCTAATCGCATCTTAAAAATAATCATACATGAAAACTAACAAATAAAAAAAAAAACACAAACCAAACGGTAATTCTTAAACAAACGGTAATTCTTAAACAAATGCTGTTAAAACATAACCATACATTTATAAAAATAACACATATGGGCAAAAGGAATTATAATAAATCTGTTTTTTTCTGCAAAATTAATTCCAGCAGACTATTAGTCTTTTTTTGCAATTCATTGCTTTCTTTTAAAACATTAAGTTTCATTTCTCTACTATCCTGTTTTCGTAACTCGAGTTCATACAATTTGTTAAATTTCTCTCTTTCAAATTTCATTTTTTCTTTGTGTCGGTTCTCCTTCAGCACACTAATTTTTTCCAATATATCATTATTTTTATATCTTGGTTTTCTTGCTGTCGATTTCTTCAGTTGTTCTAATTTTCTTTTTTGAGGCAGCCGATTTGGATTTTCCGAGGAATTTTCATTCCTTATATTTGTCGATGAACCTCCAGATTCTGGCTCAAAAGTAGTTATTACCTGGTCCAAGCCTTCATCTGTGTCTTTAGAGCATCCTGGTACTGGTTCTGACATGGCTTTAGAATGTGTAACAGAAGGCAAACACTGGTGCCGAGATGAAATGTCACTAACTGTTTGGGTTGACAAAACAACCGTAGGGTTTATGTTCTTTTTTTTACCTAAAATTTGTTCCATTTCATCCGCATACTCAAAAAATGATCTGCCACGTCCGGTTTTCTTCTTGTTATCAACATATTTCTTGTAATTTCGTTCCAGTACCCGCCACCTATTTTCACAGTTGTTTTCTAAAACCATAACACCTCGAGTTTTAAGTTCACTAGAAATAATCTCCCACATTCTTTTGAAATTTCGAATTTCCAATGTGCCAACTTTTGTCCTATATTTCTGATACACATCCAGTAGCACAAGTGTATTTGATTTTGTCCAAGTAATTGATGAGGCACTATCTGAGCATAGAAGAGCAGCAGTTGTACTCTTAGAGATAGTTAAGGAACTGTCCAACGCTGAGGTATTCTTTGGCTTAAAGACTAAGAATTCATCCAAAAGGTCATCATTCTCTAAAAAATAAAAATATACTATAAAAGAAATGTCAAACTAAGTAAAAATACCAAAAACATACTTTCCATTTTTTCGTTCACTTAATATTAATATCAGATGTTAAGAAGAATGTATATTTTATCACAAATTATTCACATATAATTACAAATAGAGTGGTTGCTTTGTGCATATAATAAATATGTTATCTCAGCATTCAGACAAAATCGGATTGAGGTTAGGTAGCCCTGGTTTTAACTTAACTTTAAAAAGTCGCCACCAGGTAGCAAAAGTGTAGTCAAATTGCTGTTCGTAGAGCGAAAAATTGCCAACCGGTTTGAAACCGATCATAAAATGCGCACGCGTACGTAAAAATCAGTAACTGATTGGCAACGTTGGCAATTCTTGGTCTGCGAACAAATCTAATGTTTCTAGTGTATTGGAGAGAATATGTGAACTTACTAGAACGTTCGCCATTTTTTTAAATTTGTATATAAATTGGCGGAAGAACAGGGTGAAGTTAAGTTAGTATATGGACAGTGAAGATAAATAGTAATTAGTAGATAGACAGTGGTGAATATAAATAGTGATCAGTTTAAAGACATTCGAAGTATATATAAATTAGAAGTAGTTGTGTTATAAAATAAATAAGTGTTTAAATAAATTATTAATAAATAAACTGTTGTTTTAAAGTAAACAAACATCACAATATTTAAATATATCAAGAAATTAATAGGAGGTATGTTTATTTATAAGATAATCGGAACTTATCATATTTTTTCTACTGATTTGTTTTAGGAATAGAGTAAGATTTCAGCAAAGCCTACTATTTATTGCTTGTAATCTGTATATGTAAGGTGTATTCCCCTTATATTACTAAGGCCTCAATAGCTCTATTGTGAATCCTCCAGATGCTGCCTTTTGGGTGAGATGTCTACAGGGATGACTACCTCTCAGATTGTCAAAAAGCCTGCAGATCTGCTTGAGATAAAATTGTATAATATATTTTGCTGTATTAAAAGTTTTTTTTTTAATTTTAAGCCAGTCCACCAAGAAAATGTAATCTTTCCAAATGATAAAATTTCACTTCACTTGACGTCCCGGCACTTCCGACTCTAAGGTTGAGTTGTTAAAATATGATCTACTTACAAGTTGTAATATTTTTATAGCAACCGTATAACAACTTTGGCAAAAGTAGCTATTCTATTATTCACGGTTGCTATAAAGTTGTATAATATGTGGTGTAAATCAGGTTTCTAACAACTTAACCTTTAAGTTAGGAGGGACGGGACCAATGAAGTTTATATCTCCCGGTCATAGACGTTAAGTTAAATATATGTAATTTATCATTTGAAATTAAAAAAAAGGTCATAGCTGCAAACTTTCATCAAGACAGGAAAATTTTATGTACACTTTTATGCAGATCTTTTGATGATCTAAGAGGTGGTTCCTATAGACAGCTCTCAGTAACATTATACATCAACCAGCAGACGTTTTGAAGAGCTGAGAGGTAGGTCTTAAATTTCCCTAAAGGATGCACAATGGGGCTATTGAGGCCTAAGTAACATGAAGGGTCACCCCTTCTTACATAAACAGATCGCAAGAAATAGTATAGCCTTTGCTGAAATCTTAAGTCATTCCTAAATCAAACCATTAAAGAAAATAATATACCTATCAAAGCTCCTCTATTTACCTTTAAAACCCGGACATACATTGCAAACAAACGTAGCGCGTAGCTATTTTGTAAAAGAACAGACATGCGTTGACAGGTGCGCTGTTGCCAGGCTGTGTAGTTTATCTCTTTCATATTTAAAAATAGGTTTTACCAATAGCTCACTAATATTAACAAGTTTTAATAATTAGAATAGTTTCTAGATATATTGCGAAACATCAAGCGTCCCCACTAATTTATTTTTATACCTATTGCAGTGTTTCCAACTCCTACGCATTGTTGGCAGAGTTGTTGCAATATTTCTCGAAACATTTATAATAGTAAGTCTCTAATTATTAAAATAACTTGTAACAAAAGAAAAAACGTACAAAATGTGTACAAAGTAGATTAAGCTATTTTAACTGCTTTCAGCAGACTTTATATTTTAGCAGCACCTATTTTTAATCATTATGCAAGGCATTTTTGTACCTATCATTTTTAAATACATACGCCTGCTAAATAACAACTTTGCAAATACTAAGATAAACTGTGGCAAATACCATTATTATTCCTGCAAATAAATCCAAGGATTTTAAAAGCGTTAAACGTGACACGACTGCAATTTAAAATAATCTTGTTTCATTCATAACTATATGTCACGATTGTCACATATAGTATTTTATCCATCAATAGTTTGCGACGTTGCGATCCAGTAAATTGTTGCATATCGGGTGTTTCTGTTAATTTTCTGCAAAAAACTGGAAAATGTGGGTGCTAAAGTATCTTTTCATAAGTAAGGTTAGGTGATGATGTATTCCCAATTGTATTCCATAGTTCAGTGGTGTAGATTTAAAAAAATTTGCCGTAATATCACATGTATTATCTTCTTTTGTTTTACTATTATTTATTTGCTTCGATTTTTCAACGTTATTAATTTCGCAAAACATTGTACTTAATGGAAACACTTTGGTCTCGACTATAGTAGTGAAATAAATATGCTTATGCTAAAAGGCATACAAGAAATATTTGGCTTTCAATTGTAGGTTTCCGAAAAAAGGTGTTATGCTCGGAGCCTTAAGCCGGTCCCAGACATAGCGTGTATTCGGCGAATGTGCCTTCGTACTGCGCCTTCAGCATGCCTTCGGTTACCCTCCCACACACTGCGGCATTTGGAAAATGTTCTGATATTGACCAACGTTCGCCGCAGGGCCTCAGTATAGAACAGTAGCGGAGAGCAGTGGATAGTGACGATGAGCAAGCGGCTGCAGTTGCAGCCTGTATGGTTTTTAATAACGGAATAAATAATACAACACGTCGCTAAACTTGGCGCGACTCTGACTAAAGACAGAATAGGCAATCAACTAGGCGTAGTTGGGCACACTGTCTGGGACCTAACGCAAATGAGCGCAAGGGCACTTCGTCTTCCTTTGCTGCGTGCCGTTTTACCAACAAGACTACGGATAGCAAGCGAATGCCGAAGAATAGGCGCAATTGAGCTCCCACACACTGCGCGGAGGACCGCGTATGCTGAATATTCGCCAATTACACGCATTGTCTGGGGCCGGCTTAAGAATCTAACATATTAAACTTTTTTGGAAATCACATTTTTAATGACGATATTTTTTAAAATCACGCAGTAGATTTGAATTAGCTGATAATAAAACATTATTTTAATATTCGCAGTCATTATGAGACCACAGAAAAGTTGGAGTAAAAAGTATAAACACAAAAGTGATATTGTTCAGAAACGAATAAATTAAAAAAAAAAAAACGTAACTAACGCAGGTTTATTGTTGTACAGTTCTACGTGTTTTCGGATTTTACAAAATTATTATCGCCAGATCCGCTATAAGAAGCGTTCTATTTAAAATCCCTACCTTGTATATAAGTATGGTAAATTTATTGATTTAATAACTTTTATAAATTAATTAATGTTAAAAATCTGAATTGATTTAAAAATCTCTCATTTACTAATTTATAAAACTGTTCAAATTTTAACCCCAAAATTGGATTCGTAAATTTGTTTTAAATAAATCTTAATTTGCTTGTTTTTATTTTATTTAACATCTTTATATGTAATAAAACTTGTATTTTTCTTGCAAAAAAATAGTGTTTTTAAGTGTTTCACCTAAATTTCACTCAACTTTATACCCTTATTCCAAATCCAATTGGTTTTAAAGTTTAAACCATTATAAAGTTTATTGTACACCATATAGGTTAGTATTTCATTATTTTTTATTATAATTAGTTATGATTTTATCTTTAATAAGATACGCCACTGGTATCGACAGACTTTTAGTTGCGTGTAACAGCAGCGTTGTCAGACAAGATCTTGGATTACAGTCTGTCTTCTTTCAATGCGCATGAAATATCTTTTTTCGCTTTTCCAATGATTGGGACCAAACAAAACATACTTTATGAATGAAATGCATCATCTATTGTTTCTTTTATCTAAGATACCTATCTATTTAGTTCTGATATCTATTGTTCTATCATTAAATATACCTTCCATTAATTTCTTGGTCTAATAAAATGTTTATTATCCAGGATCCATATTTCTTTTTTAGCAACTAGTTGTTACGCTTAAACATCAAGAATATTAGGTTGCTTCCAAATAACTCTGAATCCACTTTTGTAACCACTAGTTGTTACAGATTTTACAGTTCATCAAATTTCTAGAGGTGTTCGACGCCCAGACAGAGAACGCGCTACGTGTGACTAAGATAGCTATTGTACAGTCTGCTAAACAAGTTATTTTAAATAGTTTTTAATATTTTTAGGTAATTAAATTTTAAAAGTGTGGAATAGTTTAGGGATTAAATTGGTCTGATTGGACTTTCTTAGAACGTTTTTAAAAGCAGCTAAAGATAGTATGTAGAATTGAAAATAATTATTATGCCATAAAAGGTGTTTTGGAATTCCTCCAACCTTTTGAAATTGAGTCAGAAAATATAAATTTTATAGGATAGCGGAAAATACCTATAATTTTTTTGTAGGCCTTTGTAAATCGTGGAAATAGTTTATATTTTATTTCTACCTTATTAATAACGGTTGTTTCTGAAACATTACTAAAATTTTCGAAATTTTGTTTTTCTACAAAATAATAAACTATACTTTTTAGAAAAAAATTTATTTCTCTTATAATTTTATAAAAAATAACAGGGGAATATTTACATTTCTTGATCTATTAAACAAAACGATAAATTATCTCGACGAATGACACCATGTTCTAGTACGGAAGCTAGTTTACATTTTTGTTGGTTTCATATCAATTTTTTGTAATTGTAGTTTACACGTACATATACCTCTTAACACTTGTTTGCTTTATTAAAAAAGTGTGTTGTTGTGATTTACGTCGCAATAAGTCAAAAAACAACTTGAAACCCCATATAAAATCAAAAAGGAGAAACGGAAAAAAATTGAGCCTGTAAATGAACACAA